ATTGCTGCCTTTTCTCCTCTTCCACTCACCAGTAGGTCAATGTGGTTGCCAGCAAGCTTACATGCCTGCTCAAGTATTTCCTTTGCGTTTCAGTCTTAGAGGGGAGTTTGTCCTGAAATGCATCATTTAATTTCTTGACTGCTACTTCCATGAGTGTTGATGGTTGATCCAAACAAAATGAAATCTTTCATAACTTCAATTTTTTTCTCCATTTATAAGGGTGTTTTTTATTGGTCCAGTGGTGAATACTTTTGATTTCTTTACATTCAGGTGCAACCCATACTAAAGGCTGTGGTCTTTGATCTTCATAAGTAAGTATTTTAAGTCCTCTTTGTTTTCAGCAAGCAAGTTTGTACTAACTGCATATTGCAGGTTGTTAATGAGTCTTCCTCCAATCCTGAAGACAATTTTTTCTTCATATAATCTAACTTCTCAAATTATTTGCTCAGTTTATAGACTGAATAAATATAGTGTAAGAATACAACCCTGGTGCACACCTTTCCTAATTTAAAACCATCTGGTGTTTCCTTGTTCTGTTCAAACAACTGCCTATTGGTCTATGTACATGTTCCTCATAAATACAATTAAGTGTTCTTGAATACTTCTTCTTGGCAATGTTTCCTATAGCTTGTCATGATACATGCAATTGAAAGCCTTTGCATAGTCTGTAAAGCACAGATAAACATCTTTCTGGTATTCTCTACTTCTAGCCAAGTTTCATTTGACTTCACTGATGATATCCTTTGTTCCATATTTTCATCTGAATTCAGTTTGAACCTCTGGAAGTTCTCTGACAATACACAGTTGCAGCTGTTTTTGTATTTTATCTTTGGAAAAATTTTACTTGCGTACAATATTAATGATATGTTCTGATGATTTCTTTTTTTAGAAACATTTTTAAAAATGTAAAAATTAGAGAAAATGTGCATTAGCTGAAAGACAAATGTGAAAAGCTACCTTTCAAGTAGTAGGTTTTAAAAAGATTTCTGGTATGGCACTGTAAGATAAGCATGGATTTCTAAGTACATTGTCAGCAGTTGAAACCTACTGGTGACTCTTTGGAAAACTTGTATAGGGAAGCTAGGATTTTGAAACATCTCCTCAGCACTTCAAAACACTTCACAACAGCATCATAACTTCAGTACTCAAGTTCAAAGGAAGCCACTACCCTTTGGGAGAGGTGAGGTGGGTCATGAATTTCAGCTACCTCTCATATTCTTATCCTTTGTGCAGGGCACAAATGTTCACCCAAATGGTAGCCTTAACAGTAGATGTAATATATCACATGCATGGATTTCTGTTAATCAAATAATCCTTTGTATTGATTAGAATTAAACCCAGTGCCATCAAGTGATTCCAACTCATACCAACCCTATAGGACATAGTCGAATTATTCCTCTGGGTTTCCAAGATTGCATATCAGTAGAGGAGCTGACAACCATATTTTTCCAAGTGGAGAGGCTGGTGTGTTTGAACCACTGACCTTTCAACTACCAGCCAATGCTTAACCCATGGCACCACTATTGAAAATGAGCAGTTACTGAATTTATATCTTCTCATCTCTGAGGGACAGCTTGTTGCAGCTTGGAGGAACTGCATGATTATAAATGCACACATGTATACAAACCTACACATATGAATACACATATGATTTCTTTTTGTCTATATAATCAGTTCAGAAAAAGGTTGTTATTCACATTATTTGAAACTCCTTGTTACTTTTCTTTTAAAAAGTCACCTGAGGAGAAAAAGTTTTCTACATTCAATTATTTTAGTCTTTAGGGAAAAGAGTAATTAATGCGTTTACAAAGCCAAATTTTCAGAGCCTGAAGGAACTTTTTTCCCCCTCACTATATAGTAAATTTCCCCCTGTGGGAGCTTGGGTTGACTTTAAAGCCTTGTTATTCTTTGTGAGACTCTCTTCCAAGTCTGTACTGTGAAATTGTGGCATATTGATTTGGCTGTAGCTGAGTTTCAGAAGGGATCTTGGCTCAATATTTCTCATGGAAACCCCATTCTTTGACTCTGAAGCATGATTTAAAAGGAAAGGAAAAAAAAAAAAAGTTGTGGCACCCTTTTGCTTTATCTCAAAAGAAGACATTTTCACTCAACAGGGAAGGCATCTTGTTAAGCATGGATAAGAGTTTTTAAAGAAAATGTTGAATGTCTTATGAGAGGAGACAAGAACCTACTGGAAATAATTTCTAAATTATACTATAACCTTTATCCATATCAGAAGATGGTCTGTCTGAGAATTCTTTGAGTACTAGAAACTAGGTTGCTATATAGTTTTGTAAAGCCTGATAAATTTATTTTAGCATTTAGTTTAAATAATCTGACAAAGAAATGATATTAATGATCTAATAACACATTGAATATCACTTTTATTTCCCTTCTTTTCTTTATCATATTAACCAATTACCTGCATTCTATCATCAATCTCTTAGTCTCCACTTAAGGACTAATGCCTATAACTTTTATTCTGTATTTCTTGTTTGCATCAATAATCCAGTCTCTCTCTCTGTACCTTCTCTTTGCTATCCTCTCTCCCAGTCCTCCATCTATTACCCTGAGTAACATTATCAAGACATTGACTCATTCATACAATCCCTGTAATGCTATGGAGATTATTCAGGAGTATTGTTTTTTGTTTCCATTTTACATATCTTGACATTACCTCTGTGGTCATGGTCCCCATACTCAGTCCTAAAGGCACTTGATGCATGACAGTGCATGTTTCATGGAATTTCATTTTGGGTGAGTTGGATGCATACTTCTTTCAGTTTCTATCACAAATAAAATGGAACAAATTTTAAAACATCATCACGAAGTTTGGATAAATGTCATAAAATGATATATTTAATATCATAGTCATATGTTACCATATGGTTAGATTTTAAGACTAGAAATATGCAAAATATTTATTTCAAAAATAAGTTTCATGCTGGCAACTTTCAAGTCATTTTTTAATTTATCTTTCTTTTCTACTTATCGTTATATTTCTAATGCCCACTTAGCAATCATGATGTAATCTCACTTGCCTTTTGATTTTTTTTGGTTGTATGATTCCACTTTTGTCTTGAAATTTTACAGGCTTTCATTTTTATTGTCATACTTGCTTTTAATCCTCTTTTTTAAATTCCCTGTCTTAATCATACTGATCTTTTAAATTTTTCATATTTAATCTAATTTCATTCCTGTTTCATTCAAAATGAGTACTGCCAATTTTTCTTTTATTTCAGTGTAACAGTTAACACTAGTATGTTTAATGCATTATTCTTTTATACAACTGATATAGACATATTGTTTTTCAATTGTATGCTTCATTTAAAAAAAAATCCTTTGTCTTTTTCTTTTTTCACTTACTTTTCTGAATTTTGCTCACTTACTTTTTCATGTTGTCTATGTTTTGATATTTTCTGTTTTGTAAAAACAATTTTATTTTAAATATCTTTCCTCTGGGATGAGAAATATTTTAACGTAATCTTCCAATATAGAATTTTATCAGGCACTCAATGTGTCTGAAGGACATTAACTAAGAATAATCTATTGACAACTTATACATATGACAATGTTGTCTCAAACATTTGCAATTAGCAACTTGTGCAGCTAGTTACACACATTTAGTGAAACACTGTTGTTGTTGTTATGTGCCGTGGAGTCGGTTCCGACTCATAGAGACCCTGTACAGGGTTTCCGAGGCTGTAAATCTTTACGGGAGCAGAAAGCCTCATCTTTCTCCCTCGGAACAGCTGGTAGTTTCGAATTGCTGGCCTTACGGTTCGCAGCCCGATTCGTAACCACTACGCTACCAGAGCTCCTCGTGAAAAACATCATAATCAAATAACAATTAGTTTGTTCTAAAAAATAACAATAATAAACTAAATTATAATACTTATTTTTGTAGTTGTTTATTATTTTACATTTAAAAATATCTTCTTTAATGAATTAAATCCCATTAACTGCAATAAAAATGTTAAAGTTTAGAGTCTGTAGTGATGACTCTAAGTTTCTAAAGGATGATATGCAAATTCCTTTAGCTGTGTAAACTCCAGCCTCCATTATTAGCTGCAGTGTTCTGTCTAATCTCAAGAGTGCAACATAAAGACTCAGTTCCAGCACCCTACTTATCTCTTTCCAGCAGATTCAAAATGGAAGCTTTATTATAATTGAGTTGTTAAGTGCTATTGAGTCGATTCAGACTCATAGCAACCATGTATAGGTTTTCCAAGGAGCACTGGGTGAGTTTGAACCAGTGACACACCAGGGATCTGATGATGGATTACTATCTCAAATATGGTGTAATATCAGTTATAGGATAAACTATACTTAATTATTAAAAAGGAGGCCTGGTGTGGTGCTCTCAGATAAGCACTGGATGGCAAGGTCCATTTGAACCATAAGGTGGGTTGTTCAAATGCATCAGTCACTCTTTGGAAATCTTATACAGGGTCGCTTTGAATCAGAACCTACTCAATAGCACTAGTAATAACAAAAACAATTATTAAAAAGAGATGTATTCATTACAGTTGTTTTCTCTTAAATAACTTGGATCACGAAGTAGAGATGTAATGGTTAAAATAATCTGTATCAAGAAATTGATATTTATGCATCTAGATTATTGTTGATGTTGTTAAATGTTGTGGAGTTGGTTCTGCCTCATAGGGATCCTGTATAGGTTTTCAACTAGCGACTGGAGAGTCTGAACTACCAGCCTTTTGGTTCAAAATGACCTTGCCATCCAGTGTTTTATTCCACAGGTCACACTAGGACTCAATCTTAAGTATTATCAATATTAATTTTTATATATTATTTTTTGAAAGTGATGAGAAAAGAATAAAGTCAACCATATTTTTTTCAATCATGCAGCTCATTCTTGCAGGAAATGGAACAAATGAGATGATCCTAATACCACATCTTTTAGAAGATGCAGTTTTAATAAATGATGTATCTTGATTATTTCTCTTGACATTCTTAAGATAAAAACTTCCTCACCCAGCATGGAGAATGGAAATTGGACCATGGTGACTGAGATTATTCTTACTGGGATACCCACCACCAGAAACCTTGGAAGACTCCTGTTCTTAATATTTTTATTAGTCTATTTGGTGACTGTCTTTGGAAATGGCCTAATCATTGCCCTGATAATTATGGACTACAGGCTCCAATCACCTATGTATTTCTTCCTCAGCAACCTCTCTTTCAGTGAAATATTAACCACGACCTGTGCTGTTCCCAAGATGCTGGCAGGCTTTCTATCTGAAAAGAACAGACTCTCATTTGGTGAATGCTTCACTCAGTTGTATTTCTACTTCCTGTCTGGATGCACCGAGTTTATCCTTTTTGCTGTCATGTCTTATGATCGTTATGTGGCCATCTGCAGTCCCCTCCAATACCCAGTGATTATGACCAGGTCACTCTGTGTCCGTCTTGTCATAATTTCCTGGCTTAGTAGCTTTTTTCTCATCCTCCCATCTATCATCCTTAAGGCAAGATTGCCATACTGTGGTCCCAATGTGATTGATCACTTTTTCTGTGACAGTGCCCCCTTCCTTCACTTGGCTTGTGCTGATATCAGTATCATTGAGCTATTGGATTTCCTCAGTTCTCTTGTCCTACTCATCAGCTCCCTCTCCCTCACACTGGTTTCCTATATGTACATCATTTCCACCATACTGAAGATACCCTCAGGCCAAGGTCAACGCAAAGCTTTTGCCACCTGTGCCTCTCACTTCACTGTGGTCTCCATGGGATATGGGATCTCCATCTTTGTCTATGTTCGCCCCTCACAGAAGAGTAGCCTGCATCTCAACAAGATCCTCTTTGTTCTGTCTAGTGTCCTCACACCACTCCTAAATCCCTTTATCTTTAGTCTACGAAATGAAACCATGAAAGAGGCCCTGAAGGACATTTTGTCCAAGTGCTGTAAATTTCTTAAACAGATGAGGTCCAAGTAGCAGAATCTTTGATAAAAATTACAAACTTGGGTATTTACAACATTAAAGAAATGAATCTAGAAATGAAACTATAAATGGGGGAATGACTGCACTATATCTTTGTATCATTTGCAGCAATAATTGCAAAGTAAATTAGATTCTTGTACATCTTATAGTTAAGATGACAATAAATATTAAAAGCAGTAATTTTGTGGTGGTGATAATAACACTTGAGCAGGTGTCTCTAAGAGTGAAATACATGAAGTGGGTTTGCTTCTTGAAGGTCCATCTCCCTATAAGCTCATCATCTACTAAGAAGTTTTCCATACTATTGAGTCCAAATTAAGTCAGGATGGTCTAGTGAGCATTGTTGGAGTCAAGAGTGGAAGAGTTTCCAGCAAAGAAGTATCTTAAGCCTCTTCCAGGCCTCGGTACCAGCTCAGACCATGTGGACTGCGGATGAAATTGCTCAGCTGTGCTACATACACTATGGGACCAAGCTGCCCAAGCAAGGAAAGCCTGTGCCAAACCGTGAGTGGAAGTTTCTAGTAGTTCTGGTAAAGATACAGTCTACAGCTATGGCCAACACTGTGACTCACCTGACAGGCCCTTGAGAGTGACAAAGGAAATTGTCTCAATTTGCATTGGGCAATTCAAAATGAGGAAGCGCTATCTGGAATCAGCAAAGTGGTCCTCTTTAGGTCATTTCAGAAGGTGCTGAGCAGTATTTCAGAGGTCAAGTGGCAAGACTCCCTCAGGCCCAGAAGCTACAGAC